TACCGGCCATCAAGTTCGGCTTTCACCTGAATACCGGTATCTCGGGGTGATTTGTACTCCACGGGACACCGGCCGGCGCGACACCGAACTCTGTGCACAACGAGCCCACGCCGCTTGGTCTCACGCCAAAAGCTTATTAGCTTGCCCTACGCTCCCTTGGCGTCTCAAGCAAGCGTGGGTCGCAGGCAGGGTGCTCCCCGCTGCCTATGCGACGATTGGCACTTCCATTGCCACCTCGGCACGAGCTTTGAGCCCTATCACCGGTTTCTTTGACCGGGCTGCGAGGCAGCTGGTTGCTTCTTGGCGTTATGGCCACCTGCTAACAAAGCCTGCTCTGACACTGTTGCTTGGCTTGTCTGCACCTGACGACGCATACTGCATCGCACGAGTTCGCCTGGCTGTTCAGCTTCTGACTCGTGCGCCTGACTGTGTGCGTCTTTTGGTCGACGCTACCTGGAACAGAGCCACGCCTTGGGGGCAATTGCTTGTTGAAGCTTGTCAAGAGCTCGCTCACAGCCTTCCCGGAGTTTATGACCGGACACGAGTCACCACTGTTTATGTGCGGAGCCATGCTGGCCTTCTCCTTAAAGCTTGCCGGCACCTGAGCAGATACGGATCCGCATACCGGGCGCTGCATTTGCTATGGCAGGAAGTTACCCTGCCTCGGGCTACTCGGGTTGTAGGGCGTCGTAGCCCTAGCGTCTGTCACATTTGCGGCCAATGCTTGCCCAGCGCCCAAGCACTTGCTGCACATATTCATCGCAAGCATTCTGTTGTTAACTGCCTCACACAATTTACGTGTGGCACAGTGTGCCTCTGGTGCCACGCTGACCAGCACTCTACTGATAGGCTTAAGTACCATCTCAAGACCTCCGCCGAGTGCCTCCACGGCCTTCGTGTTGTTGTCGGTCCCGCCTACATTTACGGTACCGGCTCAAAGCGCAAGGGACCGAAGCCCCATCGGGGCCTCCCGGCCATCAGGCTGCCTGGGCCAGTCAATGCTACGCCTGCGCAACGCGCAGCGGCCGAGCAAGGTCGGGATTGCACAGCTGACGAACTGCGTGAGGAACGAATCCTACATCTAGGTGTCGAAGAGGTTGATGAGTGGCCTGACAATGCCTTGGACCACTTTCTGGACTCCCCGACCCTTGCTGACCGGCCCGCCACTATCTCTGTGTCTGAGGACACTGCCGCCTGTTCCTCGATACGGATCTTCTCTCGATTCTGCACTCTCATTGAGGCTGAGAGCACAGTCCCACTCCTTCCTTCCCTGCTCTATCGAGTCGTTTCCCCACGGTGGGAAGAGATGTTGCAGCAACCCGCCATCTGGTGTCTTCCACCTGACTGGCATGTTTACTGGAAGTTATGGCATACTGTGCACTCGAAGCATCCCTGGGCACTGGATGGACGGCCTGGCTTTCGTCAGCTCCGGACTGCCCTTGATGATGTTGGTGGCCCTTCCGACGGCCCTCCTCTGCGACTTCGTTGCCTTCTTAATGCCACCGTCGCTTTTCGGTTGATCTGCAAGCATGTGCACCTTGGTGCCGCCCTTTGGATTTGTGGTCGCCCTAGCAATCTGGGCATGCAGCTTTGGAGGGCCCTTATGCCGCAGGCTGTCTTTCACGGTGTCTCGCTTCAAGGAAGCCGTCTCTTCCTTGCCTCGCATCCAGACTTTCTGTCTGCTGCATGCGACCGCTTGAGATCTCGTCCCTCCCTCCAAGAGGCCGGGGCTGATGAGCTCGTGGTACGTGCTTCTTTGATTTGTCGTTCGTTCACGTCCGGGACCGTCAGGTTGTAGCTTGTTCGCTCGCTCCCTGTCGTCCCTCTTTTGCATTTAGTTCTGTCTTCCTGCTGGGCTTATAGCTAGCCCAGTTTTTGGGAATGCATGTTTTGTTTCGCTCTGGACCCTATGGACCGCAATGCGAGTGAGTGAGTTTGGAGTTTAGGATTTTTTTTTAGGATTTAGGGTTTAGGATTTCGGGTTTGGAGTTTAGGATTTTTTTTTAGGGTTTAGGGTTGAGGATTTCGGGTTTGGGGTTTAGGTTTTTTACAGTTAGGGTTATCAGGCTGAGGAGTTCAGGCTTCGGATTCAGGGCTTACTTCACTCCCCCAACTGGATTCTTGTCTAGACCCAAGAGTAACCTAGGAATAAAAAGGGTGCCCTTTTTGGTTTAAAGGGGGTTATAAGAGAACCTAAACCCTACAAAGGGGAATAAGGGCCTACTCTGGGTCCTAGTTGTTCAGGAATCTGGTCTACGTTACCATGCTAGGGATCGATTCCCAGACCCCCGGGAGGATCTAGAAAGTAGATCCACTAATCTGGAGCAGTATACTACCATGGGTACTTTATAGGAACCCCCATGAAGGGATCTACTTTTTTGGATCTATGATCTCCTTGCTGTTGCAATTAACTTAGCAGGAACCCAGCCCAGTTGTCGCATGTTCAGGTCCGGTACGAGGGTTTGGTCTGTATAGGGTTACGAGCCTGACGGCTCCTTAACAGGGCTTCGCAAAGGTTACTATACGCGCTTCGCGCATACTTAAACAAAATCTGAATAATGAGCCTTGGCTAGGCTTTGAAGTAACCAGGGGAAATAGTATAGACTTTTATTTCATGATGGTTCCCTTTAAGGAACAGGTCCCCCAAAAAGCATTAAAGTATGGTACTTCAAAGCCTAGCTGGGGAATTGGTAACTCAGCAGACATGGGCCTCAACCCTTCGAAGACAGCTTTGAAGTAGGACCGTACAGGGACTATGACTATAAGGGGACCTGACTCCTTGTCGATCCTTTCAGCACCGCAGGCTAAGATTGAGGAGTCAAGGTTTGAACGTTTGGGGATTGTGGTTTGAGGGCTTGTGGTGTAGCTGTAGCTCCATGAATGTCTTGCTGCTAAGGGTTCTCTATTCAACCCATCAGAGCCTAATTTCGTCGGGACCCTGAAATCCTGCACTGGGTCAAAAAGGATGCCACGCTGATGGAACTGCAAGTACACATACCCTTATAAGGCCCTTCGTTGATTAATGGCTTTCACCCAGATCGTCCGCCGGCAACTTGCCATTGCAAGAACACGTACACACGCACACACACAGAGGCACACACACACACAGGCACACACACACAGACACACAGACACACAGACACACAGACACACACAGGCACACACACACAGACACACACACACACACACACAGACACACACACACACACAGACACACACAGACACAGACACACACACACACAAGCAAACTCCTGCATGAGAAACAGGCCTGTGGACGTTCTTCCACGGTCCGCACTAGCTACCCGAATCTCAAGGTCATTGGTAGCGATGCCAAGCCCAGGTTTGGACTGCGACGGACAAGGCCAGTCACACGGGCGTGCCATCCTTCAGTTGAGCGCTCCACGACCCTGATCATCGCCAGCGCAGATACCCAGGCACAGAACCAGGCCTGAGCAGGGTCGGCGATCCAGGACAAATCAGTGAGAGCTTTTGGAGAAAGGCGTCCGTCCGCGATCAGTTCATCCTCGGACTTTTCACTTGGCTTTCTCCCAAGCCGTCCGCCGGCAACTTGCGATCCCCATGCGACCCTCAACCTCAACCTCCAGAAAACCCCCTCAGCCAGCTTTGATGGCAAGACTCTCGGGTTTCGAGTTTAGGGTTTAGGGTCTAGGGGTTTAGGATTTAGGGTTTAGGGTCGAGGGTTTAGGGTCTAGGGTTTAGGGTTTCGGGCTTGCGGTTGCTTCGGCGGCTAAAACCTCACAAAACCTACCTGCCAGATCCTGAAGAACGACCCTTCCACGCTCCAAGCTTGAATCCCTGGACCGCGCCAACAGAAGTTGGAACTCCCTACTGTAAACAACCGGGCTTAAGGTTTACGGTTTAAGGTGGGGGATTACGATTCAGGGTTTTCGTAACAGGTTTATGTTCAGGGTTGTACTGCTCAGATCAACCCATTGACACCCTCGATAGCTAGACATCGGATGGGCTTAAACCAGATACGAACGTTGCATGATGATTTTTGAACCACTTCATGCTGCAGGGCTATTGCTACTACTCTTTGTACTGCTTCTATGTTGTTGTTCTGGCAATCGGCTACCGTGATAACGGTATAGCAAATAAATAGCGCCCCTTACGAATCCAAACGCGTAGCATGGCAAATAATGGTTCGCAGGAAGACCAAGCATCGGATCAACCTAAGATCTCGAAAGCGACAGTCAGCCGGGTTTTAAGAGTCCTAGAATCTAGAATTATTGAACCCCCCTTAAACCGTAGACCCTGAACCCTAGAATCATGATATCCCTACACCCTAAAACCTAAACCCTAGACATCATGAAATCGGGACCTGCAGGAAAAGGCCTCGCGCCTCGGGTGGAGGGGACTACTCTGTGACCAAGTACCCAATAAATATATACCTGTCGTATCCATTGTAGTGCCTTCTGTTTGCTGAACCAAAAACAGGGTTGAGATCCCATCATACAAAGCTGGTCAAACTAGTCAAGTAACTACGATGGAGACTATAGGCACCTCTGAGTACCAACCTACAATCACTACCACCCTAAACTTGAATGCCTGACTGCCAGGTACTTTGGAGCCTTGGTAACGGCCCAAGTCTCCAAACCCCCCAAACCCAGCACTCTAAACCCTAAACCTGAAAATCGAAACACGATAGGTAAGCCCGACAAGCCCCAAACTCGAAAATCGAAATTCCTAAACTCCCAAACCCCTCAAGTAAGGAATATATTCCCTTCATAAACAAAATTCAAAGCAACCCTAACACGATGTAAGCCATATTCCTGAATCAAGGGGTTGTGGAGTCTCTGGGTTAGGCCCCATAGTAGCCTATAAGACTAATCTTACAGTCACCGCATCGTACCGTTACAGTCACCTTAAAGCAGCATAGTAGCCTGACAGTCACCTTGAAGTGCGCTTACAGTACCCTAAACCCTAAACCCCTAAACCCTAAATCCCCAAAACCTTGTCCCGAAAGCCGAGCACGGCGCCAAGCCGGCCGCATTGTCCAGGACGAGGAAGCGAGCGCCGCTTCGAACCTCACAGAGAGAAAGCAAAGTTCTGGATTCAGGGCTTTTTTCGAGCAGCTATAGGCTATAAGGGTTCCTACACGGGATCTATAAGGGCACCCACAAAGAGGTCTAGGGGATTAGAGTTAAGGGTCTATGGGATTTAGGGTTTCGGGTTTAGGATCTAGGGCTTTGTACAAAAGGCCTTAAGACCTAGAATTTAGGGCTTTGGGCTTGGGGTTGAGGGTCTTGGATCCACGGTTTCGGGGTTTAGGGTCTAGGGTTTAGCCAAAGCGCCTTGAGAATTATAGAGAGAAAAGCCAGGTTCTGGATTTAGGGCTTTGGGCTATGGGTTTCGAGTTTAGGGTCTAGGATTAAGGGCATCGGGTTAAGGGTCTAGGGCTTTGTAAACGGGGCTTACGAATTAGAATGGGGTTCCTTTGCGGGCTTCTTTTGAAAATCGTTCTAGGGTTGCTAGAGGAGTGCAGTGCAGTGTAGGGATACAACATGGGGACCTTAATACTTATCCCTAAGGAATAGTACTATAACTTATTCAGACCGGACCCCTGTGCTACCCTAAACCCGTCGACTTCTCTTCAAGCTTTAGTTTCTACAGGTTTAGGGAAGTGTTTCGGGTATGGGAGGTTAGAGTTTAGTGTGTTTGGGTTTCCGGGCTTTGTGTTGGAAGTAGAGCTGAGGGCCTTGAGCTTTCGAGCGTGGGAAGTTGTAACCAGGGTTTTGGGCGGGTGCAGGGTTTAGCAGTTGGGGGTTTGGGGTTTAGAGTCTATGTCGCTTTGGATTGGAGACGGTTCCGGCGTACCCCAGCCCATGTTGGCTGGGCAGCTTGCGAACTAACGTTCTTAAGAATAACAGAAGCCTAGCAACCCCTGGGTAGGCCCCAAAGGGTCTGAGGTACTGTTATGAGTTATGAGGCATACTTCCCAGTTCATAACGAAATGTTTCCTAAAGTAGGAACCCTAGTTTCTACTGTATACGCACTTAAGACCCTGAGGGTAAGGAGAATGAAGTGAGACTGGCTTGGTGGAGGTCTCCAGGCATGCGGCCCCATGTTATGAATCTACAAGACTGCCGGAAACCATGTCGGAGATAGCTTCGGCAGTTTTTCTCCATATTCCTAGCCGTAGAGTTGAATGCACTTGCTTGTCCTGCTTGCTGAGGGCTGAAACTTGGTCAGTGCCTATAGTCTCCATTGTGGTCCCTTTTTTGGTTGACCAATTTCATGGTTAGGATCCTACAATATAGATTTTGGCTAACCAAAAAAGGAACTACAATGGAGACTGTAGGTGAGATTGTGCATTGAACAACAATGACGACAAAGAACATGTTATTTACCACTACTAAGAACTCATCGTTGCTGCTCTAAGCGCCTGACGTCCGCATGGCATAGCAAAGATGACAAGTAGTCGTAGCGCAGTCCACATACCTGGTGCTCGCTTCTCTATAAGCGCCCAACTACCAATGCTGTCCCTGAGAGTTCCCGCTAGTGTTATTCTTATGCAAATATATCACCCAAACCCCAAACGTAATCTAATGACTTTTAAGGTCTCTATGTTTTATATGCAAAGGGGAAGACTTAAGAGCTTACCTATAGTCTCCATTGTATTTCCTAGCATAACCAGTTTATATTTTAGGACCCTACCCATAAAACCGGTTAATCAAGAAATGGAAGTACAATGGACTAAACCCTAAACCCCAAACCCGAAGAGTACACAGAGACAGCGGCTTTGGGCTGTTGGGGGCTGCGTTCGTAGCTAATCATGGCATGCAAAAGACCTTCCAATACCCCTTGGTTAAGGATTAGGATTCCCTGATACGATTTAAGGTATATTGCTGCAATTCAAAGATGTTGGGAGGTCTGGATCAGAGTCTGGATGTTTTTGTCTTCTGCTTTCGGGGGCTCAGTCCCGCAGGGATAGCCGATAGACAAATTCAAAAACCATCCGCCTCGCTGCAATGCTGGCTTACTCATGCATTTTGGGTTTGAGGGTGTAGGGTGCAACTGAGGTGAGGTTGTAGGTCCAAACCCTGACCCCTAAACCCCAAACCCTAAACACTAAACCATTGTCTTAGTTGCTGAGTTCAGAAGCCCCAAAAAGTGTACACTTTCAGTTTTTTGTGGGTAATATGATCCCCAAAAGTGTAAAGTGTATCTACTCAGCTACTAAGTTGTAGGTGCTAGGCTTTCGGGTCTTGATCGCAGAGTTTGCAAATCGACACAACACGTCCGGGCTTGTCAGGCTCGTGACATTCGTTGCTCCCATCAAAACGCTTCGCCTGGTGCCTGTGTATGTGTGTAACTGCATGCATGAACATCTGTATGTGTGTGTATATATATATAGATGGTTCTTTGCATGGGTATGTATGCATGTATGTGTGTGTATATATATATATATATATATGGGGGGGTGCATATATCATACATGTATGTCTGCAAACAGTTCACCATATCCAAGCACCATCGATGTGGGTGGCTTTCAAAATTATGGTCCCTGCTTGGGTCCCCATTATAATACGGCACTTAATTAATATTTAGGGTACCCACAAAGGGACCATAATTCTGACAACCACCCATGTATGTGCAGGACTTAGGGACTTAGTCGCCCCCCCCCAATGAAGCTAAAGACAGGGATGCGAGCTTTTGGGATCACAGGGCTATTAATGTGGGACATGCACCCACCGAAAGGAAATAATTCGTCCCTGTGTGATCTATCGGGGCTTGCAATCTATTTAGCAGGGCTTGAGGACCAAGATTTGGGGGGGCATTATTCGTGCAGCATTTAGCCCAGTTCGTGCACCTTGCCGCGCGACTGGCGGTAGTATGTCTCGCAGAGTTCCATAATCGTCGGCCGCAGCAACGTCACCTGCAAGCCCAAACCCTTGACCTAAGGATGCAAGTGCCCGCCAGTAATTACGGTTGATGATATAAATCCTGCATGACCCATTATAAGGAATATACCATAATTCCCATCCTTTAGGGTCGTTGAGGGGATTTATATCATCAACCGTAGTAATCATGCACTCGCCCCTAAACCCTAAATTGCCGAAGCCCTACATCGCCCCCTACCTTGCAATTTTGGTGAACAGCCTTAGCAAGGCATCCAGGCTAAGCCTTCCAGTGGGAGATAATAGGGGCCTTAATAAGGTTAATAAGGTTTTGGGGTGTTTTAAACGATAAATAAAATAAGAACGTCTAAGGAATACTGTTGGTAATTATTGAGGCTTGTATATATCGCAGTATGTGAGGGCTTGTGGTGTCAGGTTGTCAGCAGGTATTACTTCCATCATCAAACCTGCGAGACTGGCTTCGCGGTGAATAATGAGTTTCAGGGTGCCCTAAACCCTAAAATAAACCACAAATTCAAGGCTTCGGGGCAAGGATGCAGGAATGCAGGTCTTGCGGATCAGGATTTGCATGGTCCTGGGCTTACCTACAGTCTCCATGGTCTTTCTTGTTTAACCATTACAGTATGGTAAAGTCTGGCTGAAACGAAACGGGGAACTACAATGGAGGCTATAGGTAGGTTTCGGTATATTCTAGCTGCTCGCACAAGTCCGATATACCGTGACATCCCGAACACTGGAGCCTACAGCTGCTGCTACAAACTACTACGACTGAACCCTGAAAGCCTGAAGCGCTAAACAGTCATTATACAAGACTTACAAAGCCATGAACTTGGCCCCTTAACAGAGCTGTAGTACCACAAATTACCACGCATACCAAAGACTACATTTCGTAACCCCAAGCCCGGAAACCTCAGTCCCTATCTTATCTTGACTGTAGTCTATGGCTACTAGAGCCATTTATGAAGAGGGCAATTACCTTTATGTCCCGGTTCGAAAACTTAATAGTAAGACGGTAGTACGAGCGCTCCCACCCTGACTAAGAATGAGCCCCGATCTTCGGCATCGCCTGCTGCACGTGCTTCTGCGCCTTCTTCTTGAGATACTTCTCCTGCAGAGGGCCCGAAGATTTTGGCGGTTTCATGAGAGTTGTACAGAAGTGTCAGGGGGCTTGACATGGGTTTCCAGGTCCTATACGCTCTAGAACTATATAGATTTAGTGTTTAGGGTGTGGGGTTTAGGGTAGTCCTGTCCACCTAAAAGCAGCTCCGAACTCCCCTTGGTAACGACAAAAACTGGGCTACTTGCACCCGTGGAGCTGCGGCAGAAGCTAAACCAAAGTCTATGCTAGACTCTAGATTTTAAGCCGTAAGTTCTATGCCGAAGCCCATGTACACATGCATATATGTATATATGTGCGTGCATGCTGTTTTATCTATGACATATGCATACACACACACACATATATATATATATATAATATTATAAAAATACATACACACATGTGTGCAGGTATGTATGATACGAGAAGAATGTGTAACTATGTATGTTTATGTATACACACATACACACCTCGGGGCTTCCTCAACCGACCATAGAGAATCTTAATTAAAAAAACACTGAATGTCGAAATCTTACACTTCCATGGAGAAAGGCCCAGAGCCCCGAACCTGCGCAAACTTCGTCTTCGACGCGAAGGTGGCGCTGTTAGACCTCACACCAATGTGGGAGCTCTGAAACTAGGGCACCCTAACATAGTACCCTAAATAGTAGGATCCTCATTATAAGGACACCAAAATGAGGTACCCCTCATTTTCGAAAACCCCCATGTCAATGTGGAAAATCGTTTGAGACGACTAGGCTTCAAGCTTCGGGGTCTACTGCGAATGAAAACATCGTGTAGGGTTTAGTTCCCGGGTGCACTTGTGGGGTCTATGGTACCTCTCATGGACCCGAAACGTCAAGATTATCGAGCTTCGAAAATTACCACGGGAAAACCTGAACACTCTGGGTGTCCATATTTATTCGGTACTTGGAGGGTCGGGGGACTGAGTAACTAGTTATTTTGGAGACAAATAAGTACCATAACCCCAATTAGGATCCCTTTTCGTGATTTTAGGGTACTTCTAACTCTACTTATAACCCTACTTACTAAGTCCCCGGACCCTCCAAGTAGACGTGCAAAATGCAGTGTTTTTTTTCTGAACTCGGCTGCTCGAAGAAAGATGCAACACCGTCATGCACTTGCAGGATAGGCAGCTCCTGAGAATGCCCCTGCTCAGTTATGCAAAACAAATAAGGCCCCCAAAAAAAGCACACATAAAGCGATGATAAGGATAGGGACATCCCATATAATACATCCCCGTTCTAATAAAGCCCAATCAGGTAGGGATATCCCTATCAAAATGCTTATGCTTATGTGCTTTTTGGGTCCCTAAAACAAGACGGTAGCGAGGGCACACCCAGCAGGGCATCAACCGTGGCGAGGTCGCGTCGGAGTCGCGAAGCTCTTTTGCAACATGCTCTCGCCGACCATTCCGTAAGGGTCCACGTACTCATATAGTACATACATTGGCCTTAAAGTATATACTCGCTATATAAGTAGGTACATTGGGCGCAAAGTATATGCTATATGGGTATATGGACCCTTAGGGATAGTCTTCTAGAAGGATGTAGGGATAAGGCAGTATATACTATATGCTATGTGGGTACATGGACCCTTAGGGATTGCAAGGTTCTCCAGGTGTCGTTCCAGAGAAAAGGCGACTCGCCGAAAGAAAATTCTTGTATAGCGCGGCGAACACAGCTCAACGGGGAAAAGGAGGGACCCTTAATGGGGACCCCTACCCTATAATGGGCTATTTAATGGGTATATTACAGCTACATTAAGGGTATATACCTAGGGGTCCTTTTTAAGGGTCCCTCCTTTTCCCCTTTGAAAAGCTTGAAACACAATGCCTAAACCCCTAAACCCCTAATTCAACCGTCAGCCCAAAACAGAAAACCTAAATCCTAATCCCAAACCCTAAGCACAAGACAGCTCAATCTTGCCGGCAAGCAAGAAACTGGTAGACTGGACAAAGAAACCCTTGGTCCCTACGGCTCAGGGTTTAGGATTTAAGGGTTTTTGTCTGTCAGTCTTTAGGGGTTTAGGGTTTTGGGGCTTACGGTCTAGGGCTTTAGGGTTTAAGGTGTATGGCGATAGGGTTTTGGGGTTTAAGGTTTAGGGTCTCCGGCTCTGTCCCTACTTGGAGGCTCGGGGGACTTTGTTAGTAAGTCGGCACGACGCAGACTTATCAATACCCTCAAAGAGATCCGAGTTGGGGCCAGGGCCATGACACTTATAATTTTCTTCCACTTACCTAGAGTCTCCATTGTAGTTCCTTTTTTTGGTTAACCAGTTTAGGGTTAGGATCCTATACTAGAGATTTTGGCTAACCAAAAAAAAGAACTACAACGGAGACTACAGGTATAATATAAGTCTTACTCACTTACTCCGTCCCCCGACCCTCCAAGTGCTTTTGGAGGGCCTTTTTAGGGTTTCAGGAGAAGTCTAAGAGCGTTTAAACTAAGTTTCTGAAGAGCCCTTTTATGATAAGGGTCTCCTTTTTGCTATATATCGGTTTTGATACGTGCGGACCCTGAAAAAAAAGGGCAAAAGGGTACCACACAGGAACCCTTACAGTCTTATGGAGCCCTGTTTGTACAGTACCCTTGCAGGGCCAAGAAGGTACTACTCGGGAGCCTAGTAAAGCTGCTCAGTGAGCCGGAACGCCCCCAAATATGGTAAAACAAAACATATCACCGAAGGGTCCGAAGTACTTTTATGGGGATACTTTGCCAAGTCTTTAACGGTAATTCTTAACATAGAAACCCTACCTTCTACCATGTAGGTAGAAAGGACCCTGTGGGATGCGCAAGCACGAGTACTCTCCCAAAGGCTCCATGTACACTGCCAGTATGGAGTTAGGCCCCAAAAGACCATTCTTATGATAGTTGTCGGGAGCTGATTCCATACTGGTAGTACGGTTGATGATATAAATCCTGCATTACCCATAGTAAGGAACCTACCATAATTCCCACACTTTAGGGTCCTTAGGGTCATGCAGGATTTATATCATCAACAGTATATATGGAACCTCTGAGTCCACTGGTAAACTCCTGGACGATAAGCACCCCACGCCAGAGCCTCCACTACAGCCTCTCCATCGCACCTGTGCGTTGCTTGTGGTGCTAGAGTTTAGGGTTCAGGGGTGGTTTAGGGCCTAAACCGTAAACCCTAAACCCATCCTAAACCCATAGCCCTAAACCCTAATCCCATCCTAGACCCATAGCACCCTCAACCCTGAACCCTAAACCCCTCAACCCTATACCCTGAACCCTAAACCCCTCAACCCTTGAACATCGCATCCTGGTGTTCTCGTTGACCTACTTGTCGGGTATCCTGGGTAACGAAAGGTTAACCTTTTTGGTTATATAGGGACTACACTACCCAAAAAAGTTAAATGTTACTTACACTACGGTTGATGATAAAAATCCTGCATTACCTTAAGTACGCGAAACTATGGGAATTATGGTATATGCCTGATAATGGGTCATGCAGGATTTATATCATCAACCGTAGGTTAAAGCCTTCTCTCAGCCCGAAGCCTCAAACTCGAAACGAGAGCCCACATCCTCCTCAAGCCCTCCATCTGTATAGTACCAGTTTAGGGGTTTAGGGGTTTAGGGTTTACAATAGAAGCCGGAAAGTTGGAATATCATTATCATAATGCCTTTAAGGTAAATTACAAGGGATCCTGCCAAAATTTCATATTCCAACTTTCTGGAGTTCCCTTTATATAGGGGTTTAGGGGTTTATAGGGTTACTTACCCAACAAGCCAACGACATGAAAGGTTAAACTTTCCGATTCCCACTAAACTAGAAAAGGCCGAAAAGTTTAAAGGTTGGGTATTGGGGATCTAAGTATTATCTGATTAGGATTTAGGGTTTAGGGGTCCAGGGTTTAGTTGTTTAGGGGTTTAGAGTCCGTAAACCATAACAGTCCATATGAGGGGTCACATTAAGGGCTATGGCAAGTTCTATTATGGTTTATATCCAACTGTTACAGGGTGTAGGCAGTACCCACACTACAACCATTTGAGCCCGAAGCAACAACAAACACCACACCTAAGACTCTAAACTAAATCCTCAATGCAAGCGGCCTGCTCGGGGAGACTCAGGAAAGGAAATAGACAATAAGGTGAGGTGATATAGGGGCCTTAATAGTTAGAATAGGGTTTTGGGGTATATCACTCAACATGTCTATTAAAGAGCCCCAAAATCTCTCTTCTCCAATAACCAGGCCCAAACAAAGTTCAAACTTTTTAAGCTGGACCAAATATGTAAAGCCAAAAAGTTTAAAGTTCTCCACTAGGCTAAGTAAATAGTATTGGTAATTGTTCAGGTCCCGAAAGTACACGGTGGCGGCAGACTTTAAGCCCAGGGGATACAAGAGCTTCGCTTCGCGCACACCCCCCAAACCAACCACCCTGTTGCTAGTTGAGAGTTCTTGGAGGGTCAGGGGACTTAGTAAGTAGGGAATAAGTAGACTTATAAGTGCCTTAAAAGGGATCCTAATTGGGGTACTTATAAGTCTCTGAACAAACTAGTTACTAAGTCCCCCGACCCTCCAAGTTGGGTTTAGGTTTAAGGGTTTAGGGCTTCTTCATTGGAACTGCCATCGCCTGCCTCTTCGAATGGTTCTAACCATCGCTTGTGGGATGAATTCTGTCACAACCTACTCAAGAGACGCCTTAATAATTAGAATGGGGTTTTGGGGCTCATTACACTATAATTGTAATATGGACCCCCCAAAATCGTATAGGTGATGATAAATTAAGGCTCCTATAGTAGAGGGCTCAGAGCGGGGGATCAACGTGCAGCTGGGATGCAGGCGAGGGAAGTAGAAAGAAAATTTGCACCGGGCGGATATCCACTTCGAGAATAAGCCCTAAGGGTCCATGTACTCATGTAGTATATACATTGGCCTTAAAGCCTTCTATAGGTACATTGGACCCGAAGTGTATGCTTAATGGGTACATGGACCCTTAGGGAAGCATACTAACCATGGAAGCAAAGCTCCTATACATAGGCATGGATAGCCGCAGTACAGAAAATTGCCTTCCAATGGCCGTCGTTGCCTCAAACAAAAATGCTCCAAAGAATCAAACGGTTCGATATGGGGCCGGTCTATGACCAATGTAATTTCGCAAAGCCTTGCCGTTCAGGGTTTACAGGTTCGGGATGTTGTCGTTATTAAGCAGGGTGCTTTTGCAGATTGGTGTTGAGGGTTTGAGGTTTGGGCTTCGGGTCCTTTTGAAGACTTGGGTTGTTCTTCTTCGTAGTCTATAGGGTTGGCTTGCAGATTAGAGTGTGGTTTGGTGCCCTCGACCGCAAACCATTAGAGTGTTCGGGGTGCGCGCGGGCCTAACCCCATTTCCCACGGCTGAGGGCCGTGCGATTTTTTCAAGTCTCGCACCTGCCGGCGATTCAGGATATGTGAGTTTCCCAAAATAGGGGACCCGAATATAGTACCCCAAATAGCAGGATCCTCACTATAAGGACCCCAAAATGAGGTGCCCTAATTTTTCGGAAACTCCGATTTCGGCATGACGGAGGTTTTCAGGCTCATGCTTCATGGCTAGACCGTCATGTAGGAGCCTGATTAGGAAACCTTGTGCTGGTGTTAGGGCTTAGGGTTTTTTAGGAAACAATGTGCCCGTGCTAGGGTTCCTTATATGAATCCTACTGTTTTGGGGTTATATGCCCAGGGTGTCTTAATCAGTTTCCAACATTATACTCCACCTGACTGCCCTGGAACCACGCCGAAAGCACAAACCTAACACACACACTAACTTGGCTGACTTCTGAACCCCTCCTCAAAGTTAAGCTTAACTAGTTAAGCTTTTAGCTTCCTTTTTAGAGTTCATATCGAAACCCAAAAAGTTAAAGTCCTAAGAGCCAACCAGAAGAACACCAAGCTAATGTCATAAGGACCCTTAGGAGGGTTAGCGGGGAGGGGTAGAGGAGGCCTGAATCTGCAATAAGGACTTGATGAGGCCTATTTAAGCAGGTATAGTCCCCTACCACCTTCCCTGACTCCTGCCTTTTTGCTCAAAGCCCGAAAGTCGCAGATTACGACCATTACGACATGTCCCTGATTTTAAGCATGCGTGGGACCGAAGAGTCTGCCCCCCTACCCCCCCTAAGGGTCCCTATGAGAATGGCCAATTGCAAACATGTTCCTCTCGGGGATTCCCCGAGCTTCGTAATATCGGGACCTTACTTGGAGGGTCGGGGGACTTTGTAACTAGCTATTTTAGAGACTTATAAACGTCCATAACCCCAATTTGGATCCCCTTTAGGGTACCCATTACTCTACTTATTCGCCACTTACTAACCCCCCGACCCTCCAAGTAATATACAAGAAGTGTAGGGTTTGGGAGTATATGATACTATATGTGCAAGAAGGAAACCCCACAATAGTACGGGCCTTAGTATACAAGAAGTGTAGGGTTTGGGGGGTATAATATGTACTACAATCATAAGTAGGAAACTCCCTCCACAACCCTATGCTAATTATTAAGGCCCTGAGCTTCGTAGAACCCTGAACCCTAAACCCTAACCCTAGAACCCTAAACCTTAACCCTAAACCATAAACCTAAGCCCTAAACCTGAACCCTAAACCCTAAACCTAAACCCTAAACCATGAACCCCAGGTTGCCTCATCTGGTGTCAACGACTGCGCCTTGCCAACACATGGCAGTCTTGTAGAGTTCAGTGTTTGGGGTTTAGGGTTTGGGGTTTGGAGTTTAGGGATTGGGGTTTAGGGTTAGGGCTTGGGGTTTGGAGTTTAGGGTTCGGGGTTTAGGGTTTACCGTGTATAGCGCTGACGGTTTGATTAGGGCTTCGGATAGGTTTCGTTCTGTTCGGGCTAGGCATGCGCGAGTAGTAGGAATTCAGGTTGAAACTGTGGGAATCATACCCAGAATTCACAACCCCTTATCATGTGTAAAGACGTGGTAGTGGAGAACTCTGTCCAGCGCGCTTCCCCCCAACACCCGGCATGCTATCATGCTATGATCCTGAGACCTGATTCCATCATGGGCCTCTCTAAAGCCTTGGCTAAGGTTCGTGATCCCTGATCCTGAAATACAGCTTATGCAAGATCCCCTAAGCCGCCCCTAAGCCTACTCCCCGAAACCTTAGAGAATTCATGACTCATCCTCTTTCCCCCGAACCGTGACCAACTTGTCTCAGGTCTCGCGGACCTTGCACGCTCTGCCATCACCGTTTCTTGTGTGGCCTATTCTTCTCCAGCTTTTCATTCTCCAGCTCTTCGGCTGTCTTCATAAACTCAGCTGGCACTTCCACACTTTCACCAGGCTCTGCCCCCATGCGAGCCGGTCTGTCACGATGAAGTGGTGGCAATCATCTCAGCAACCTCTTCACTGGCACACTGCACACCATCGTCGAGGAGGCACGGAAGGTGGTCCGATGGCGCTGGGCGCCCCGGGTCCCTCACTGGACCGTAAACCTAGGAATAAGATACATAGCCGACATAGCCGGGAATGGCTTCGTGAAGGCTCTTGGAATGCGGCGGAGGTGTCCAGTTTGGGGGACCCTGCCACGGCACATAAACGAAGCTGCCAACGCAATCAAGGGAGGTGCCCGCACCCCTTGGCTTGGGGGTAGGTCCACCCCAAGCTGCAGGCTGACAAAAAAATTGCGACCCAAAGCCTATACGGCCTACAGCTCAAGCATCCGCAACGCCTCGCAACCCAATACAAGTGCATTGCAGAATATTGATTATGCGGAGCCCAAGGAGAAAGATTGAAACCAAGGAACTCTAAGGAACAAACTGGTTGTTTGTTCAAACTTCTCTCCAAGAAGATGAGCGAAACACCGATGCTTGCGAGGCTCCATGTCTCAAGGGCAGATCGTGGGACTTACTGGGGTTACTTAAAGGGTTCCTTAAATGGATCTTATAAGGCATCTTTAGGGTTTCTATAAGAATTCTATACAGAACCCCAAACACCAAGAAACCTGAACCTGCCGCTAAGCGTGTTGAGGACTGCCAGAATCACATAGAACCGCAATGACCGTAACATGCTAAATTATCCTTTGGAGGTTTAGGTTGAACATAGCCAGAACCATCCTAAACCCTGAACTCTAAACTCTAAACCGTGGCTGAGAACACTACATGGACTGGGACTCGATAGTTCCTGAACGGCTTCCGGTTTCAAAGTTCAAGGCTGTTGGCAATGCGGTGTATGTCGTCTCTCCATGGACCGCAGCACCCCTTAATCGCGGAATACTCCTTTTAGTACGCATAGGACATCCTCGGTTTTTGAAGATATACTCCGGCAGAAATGTGGTGCCGAAGTTTTGCGGTTGAGGGGCATGCCACCAAACTCCTCGGTCCAGGTACTCAAATGGCATATGATATAGAAGCCCAACTAGTTGCCATGTCTGTTCCTTAGGCCTCCTTAAGAATAGAACTGGACCTATGCCTATGCTATGTCGCTACCCTGCCGCTGTCTTGCTTCAGCCGGCTGAATTCCGAAGAGGAGCGGCGAGGGCCCCTCGTTTTCATCATGGCTCATGGCACCTAGAATTCCTTACTTCCCCAATAAGCCAGGGAAATGAAAGGCTAAACTTTCGGATTACTACAAAAATATATAAACCCAAAAGTTCAACAGTTGGATATTGGAGAACTAAGATTCTGAACAAGAGAGCTATAATCGGAGGAGGGTTTCTGAGACCACCGGAACAAACCTAATACTACAAGGCAACCCCAAGAAGTTAAGGTCCCAAGGTCCTATACCAAATCCGAAATTCCAAACAATATTCTCAGGGATCCAAGTACCTAATTATCAGATACTCTCCCACATACTAACCTGCAAAGCTACTACAATATCGACAATCCTTAGCCTAAACCCTAAACCCTAAAGCCCTAAACCCTAGTAATTACACAAGTCTGAGGTCCTTTAAGGACCCTTAGGGTTATCTCGAGGATCGGGCCGAGTTGTCCTGGGAGAGGTGCTGGTTGTTCTCCTGCACCTTCTCGGGTTTTAGTGGTTTGGTGGTTTCCGGGTTTATAGGGTTTGTAGGGTTATTAGGTTCATAGGGGTTTACAGTTTGGGGGTTTAGGGGTTGAGTGTTAGGGTTAAGGTTTGGGGGTTTAGGGCTTCGGGGTTAGGGCTTTAAGGGGTTTAGTGTTTAAGGGTTTAGGGTTTACCTATAGTCGCCGTTGTAATTCCTGATTTGGGTTAACCCATTCTGTGGCTGGGATCCCATAGTATACAGTTGGTGAAACCAAAAAGGGAACTGACAATAGGCAGGACTGCTTCCATGTCGCATTTCAAGGATAGGGCTCACCCATGCAGAAAAAAAACGACGTCGAGGATCATTGCTCGAAGTGTTCCTTGGGGCTCCTCATGGCAGTCAACGTATAAGAGTTCCCACAAGCCTATTCCAATCGTTAAGACCCTCTCTTACCTCGAAACCCTCAGCCCCCCAGCCCTACTCTGGCGATCCACAATACCTCAAACGACAAACAACCCCGCCGGCTTCGGCACACGCACCGCTGACTGAACTTGTTGAAACCCGAGAGAGGCGAAACCTGAGCCTACCTCAACCCGGAATAACCTACCCTTTTAAAACGTTGAAGGACTTATACCAGGAAATCTTAATAAGGAGCCCTAAAAAAGGTAGGTTATTCATGGTTTTTGTATGGATCTAAGGACTCAGATTGTAAGGCTTTGGGGGTCCAAAATGTAACTTTATTCTGCATGACGCTTTCGGGCTAGTTTGTAGCCTTCGGGTATAGCCTTCCTTAAATGTCCCGATGCAAGGTTCGAGGACCGAGCCGCAATAAAAAGCAAACTGCAGAGTTTTTCGGAAACCTACAAGAGAAACCCGCTGTGCTCCATGAGCCTGCGTTGCATTGGAGACGATACTAGTAAACTACTATACAGAGAATAACTTCACAGTGCTTGCTTAGATTGTAGTTGTAAAGGGCCCCAGACTCTCGAATGAAAAACGGAACTCCAAACGGCCAGACGCGAAAAGCGTCCTCTCAAAGTACCCCAAACGATCTCTTTAAGGATCCGTTTAAGGAAGCCCCTAAAGCTCTAAACCCCTTATTCCCCTCTAGAGCCCTTTAAGGAAGCCCCCTAAAGGCCCTTAAGCTAGGGATCTCGTCTTTTTTGCATGGCATCGCCCCCCCAGTAGTTCCGAGCCTGAAAGCCTCGAGTGGTAATTCCTGTCTTGGGCTACCCCGTCCCAACCGTACATGAACCCCTATCGAACCATACATGAAATCTGCAAGATGCAAGATGCCATATGGCCAGCAAGGGAACTACATGGAAGACTGTATCTAAAGCACCCTGGACACCCAAACCCTAACCCTGAACCCCCAAACCCTGAACCCGAAACCTGTAAACCCCACACCCTTAAACCCTAAACCCTAAAGCCCTATATGTCAACGCGGGGCCTCTGCCCTGTCCTCCTCAGCAACTTCCGCACCTGCCAGAAGCGTATGTAATATAGGTTTAAATATTAGGGCTAGGGTTTAGGGTTTAAGGTTTGGGGCTTAAGGTTTAGGGTTTAAGAAAGGAGCCTTAACAATTTGAATGGGGTTCCTGTACAGGGTCCTATAAGGGCTTCACTATAAGATGTAATATCGGGGCCTTAACAGTGAGACTACGGTTCCTCCGAAGGGTCCTTTGAGCGCTTGCTTAAGTGCTACTGTATGATGTAAGTAAAATTAAGGCCTTAATGAGCAGAACAAGGTTACGCTTCCATAAGTGTTTCTCTAAGACGTAAAATTGCGGCCTGAACAGTAAGTAGAATTGGTTTCCGTGAAAGTTACAGGGCCCTAGAAGGATAAAACTTAACAGTCACTCTACGGGTGTAAATTGGGGCCTTAATAGTCAGACAAGGGCTTTGGGGTAGTGCTTTGAGCCCGAAGCCTCACACCCAGTAGATTTTCACACGCGGGCTTTGAGAGCGCTAAACCCCAACCCAAAGCCCCGAAACCTCCAGACTGAACCACATACGATACACAGAAACCCTTAGAACCCTGAACTCAAAACCCTGAACCCAACGCCCAAAACCACAAAAGCGATTGTGAAAGAAGCCCTATAAACCCCAAACCCAGTCTTCAGGTTCGGTTTTTCGGGGCGAGGACCTCGCCGCTTGCGCTCCCAGCTGCCGGAGACTTCGCGCCTCCGGCAACAAATTGTCTTGGGGGCTGAGTACCCTAGCACGAAAACTGTCTACTATTTTCAGTTATGGTCCAATTACGGTAGGGTGTAAGGTTGAATGTTCATCTATAGAGCTATAGAGCCCCAAGAGGTTAAACGTTACCTACTCAGCTATGCAGTACTCTTGCTGATTAATGGGATTTCGGGCTTGGGGGTTCGTTTTCGGATGTGCTGAACACTTATGAAACTAGAAGAACCATAACTTAAGGGCATAGTACTAGCAACCAATTGTGCCGACCACTAAAGTACCTTCTTTGGCGATCCTGATAGCACGGATCCTGCTTAGGGTCTATATTAGGGTCCTCTGCTTTGTGAACGTCTAGCCGTACCATGCTTGGGTGGGGTGACTATATTAAGGCTCTGCCTGTGAAGCGTCCATTACTTATTTTCTGAAAAACCTTCATCCTGCTTCCCAAACCTCTGCACATTCGGGTTGGGGCCGGTTAAGGTTTAAGGGCCGCCCCTGACCCCAAGCTTCAAAGGCCCAGACCCTAAACCCTACAAGAGGGTTTCGTCACCAACTAACTGGTTTGGTCGTTCTTGGAGGCGCTTCGTGGACTGGCTCTGTCCACTACGGCTAAAACCCATTCATAACAGCCGCAAGACGCAGCCTGACACGAAAGGCCGTGGCTTCAATGGCCTGCTGGTCCATTACGTAAAGAATCGGTCCTTTCGCGGCGTGGGCGTCCGCAAGCCACTGCTCCAGCAGTTTCATTTCCAAGTCATTTATACTGAACTTAGAACCCTAGCAAAAATTATAGTTCTAGCTGTTTCTTAGGGATTATAATAACCAAAAATTAAAAACTATTTCTAAGTACCCCTATGTCATAGGCCTCTTGGGAGTGCCGGGCTTGCCACCAGCGCGGGAACTCGAAGACCGGTCCCGAGGCCTGAAATAAAGAGGGTTCAGGGTTTAGGGTTTAGGGATTAGGGTTTAGGGATTGGGGTTTAGGGTTTAGGGATTGGGGTTTAGGGTTCAGGGTTTAGGGTTTAGGGTTTAGGGTTTAGGGATTAGGGTTTAGGGATTGGGGTTTAGGGTTTAGGGATTGGGGTTTAGGGTTCAGGGTTTAGGGTTTAGGGTTTAGGGTTTAGGGATTAGGGTTTAGGGATTAGGGTTTAGGGTTTAGGGTTTAGGGTTTAGGGTTTAGGGATTAGGGGTTAGGGATTTCCCAGCGTCGGCTTGTGCTGTGACTCGCCTGCTTGTAGACCTCGTACAGCGATGGCCCTGCGAGCAACGACGGCTCAAGTTAAAGGCTGCTTGCATCGGCAGCTGCCTCGTTCGCGCTGGGCGAAAAACTTACCAGAACGTCCCACTCCCGAAGCTAGACATCAGAGAGATAGCTCATCTTTGGCTCTATGCACCTAGAGCCTAACCCAAGACCCACAGCCTCCTAATGCTGGCTATGGTATGGTCTTGGGTCACATATACCCTAAACCCTAAAACCCCTAAATCCTAAAGCCATGGCTTCTGCCCGAAATCCCGGCATCAACATGGAGGCTTGAGGCTGCTTTATGTAAGAGGAAGCCTTAAAGGAACCCCCCTACCCTATAATGGGCTATATAATGGGTACAGAATAGCTATATTAAGGGTTCTTGCCTAGGGGTCCTTAACAAGGGTCCCTCCTTTTACCCTTGGATGAACGGAACCCTCAAGGAACTCTTAAAGGTACCTGTAGCGTAACCCTCAAAAGAGCCCTTAAAGGTATGCCACATGGAAGCGTTGAAGGTCCCCTGTAAAAAGTACTTACTTCCCCAATAAGCCAGGGAAATAAAAGGTTAAACTTTCGGATTACTACTAAAATATTTAAACCAAAAAGTTTTAAGTATATGCTTATGCCTTAAAGTACCTATATAGGGACCCCTTGAAGGCTTAACTATCTACTATAAAGGTACATGGAGCCTTTAGGAAACCCATATCGAGGGGCCTGAGGATGGCTCCGTAAGGACAGGCAAGGACGGCGTCCACTGGTATGGCCGGGTACCTTGGCCCCAACCCTAAATCCCCTAAACCCAAAACCCTAAACCCCCTAAACCCAAAACCACCTACCCCCTAAACCCCTAAACCCCAAACCCCTAAGCCCCTAAATCCCTAACCCCCTAAACCCTAGACGATTTTTTGACTTGTTTCTTTTTGGGGTTCCCGGTACCTGGGCGAAGCTTTGATGTGTTTCCTCTGGTACCCCGGTACCCAGGCGACATGTTCTTTTGGGTTGCCTAGGATGGTAGTGTTTTGTTAGACTTCGGTGTTCAAAGGCTAGCTTTTGACACTTCTTGTGGATTTTTCGTTTGCTAAATGGTAGCTAGACGAAGTTGTGTTCATGAGCTTTCGATTTCGCTTCGGCAAATTGTATTTAGTGGATGGTGTCTTTGTATTTTCGCTGCTTGTCGTTTTCTGAAGGGAAAGCGAAATTAGTCTTTCATCTGTTTCGCAGAGGCGCCCTAAACCCTAAACCCTAAACCCTAAACCCTAATCCCTAAACCCTAAACCCCAATCCCTAAACCCTAAACCCTATCTTTCCATCTGTTTCGCAGAGGCGCTTGATATCGGGTGTGGGTTGCTGGCCTCTGTGTTCGGGCCCAGGACTTAGGAGTTTAGGAACTCGGATTTTGGGTTTAGGGTTTAGGGTTTAGGATTTAGGGTTTAGGGTTTAGGGGTTTAGGGTTTAGGGTTTAGGGGTTTAGGGTTTAGGGTTTAGGGTTTTGGGGTTTTGGGTTTAGGGTTTAGGGTTTTGGGGTTTAGGGTTTAGGGTTTAGGGTTTAGGGTTTTGGGGTTTTGGGTTTAGGGTTTAGGGTTTAGGGGTTTAGGGTTTAGGGATTTAGGGTATAGGGTTTTGGGGTTTAGGGTTTAGGGTTTAGGGTTTAGGGTTTAGGGTTTAGGGGTTTAGGGGTTTAGGGTTTAGGGGTTTTGGGGTTTAGGGTTTAGGGTTTAGGATTTTTCAGGTTTTATGCCGTCAGGAGGATGGCCCGACAAGGAGCTTGAGTTCTTTAGGGTCTTATGCAACCACTCCTCTGAGCAAGTGGTGTTAGAAGAAGCTTGAGTTTTTTACAGTTTCGCGATGGAAGGGTTTGGGACCGGGACTCGAGGATCTCATGGCAGCCTCTAAGTTGAAGTTGTTAACGTGCTGATTTTGCTGTCTACGCGATTGATCATAATCACAAAAAAAAACACGTGACCACAACAAGCTGTGAGCTGAATATGTCTACCAATGCTTTACAGCTAACCCGCACTGCAAGAAAACCAGGCGAGGAGCTTGCCCATGCGTAGCTCCTGCCGTAACTCATGGCGATTGGAGTTTGGGCATCTAGCAGCCGAAGTTCGGAACGAAGTCGAACCCGATCGGACTCTGTGCTCCGAAACCCGATTTTGGGGTGAGTATGCTAGCACGGCATATTTTAGGAATTGCTTTGGACTTGGAGAGAGTTTGCAGTACTTCAGGAGCTCTTCGTAAGTGATAGGTTCCAGTTCCCTAAACCCAACATCCCAAACCCCAGTAACTTACTTACCCAATAAGCCACAAAAATGAAAGGTTAAACTTTCCGGTTCCTACTAAACCATAAGAGCCCAAAGTTTGAAGGTTGGGTATTGGGGATCTAAGGTAAAGGACACAGGTCGAGGACTGTGCATCTTCGGCTCAGGATTTGGGGCTTGGAGCTGGAAGCTTGGGTTTAGGAGTACATACCCTGAGGCTCCTCAAATTACATAGTGTAGGAACCTGATCAAGAAATCCTGGGCCTATAACACCGAAAATATTAGGATTTATATAAAGTACACTAATACAGGCCCAAGGTTTCTTAATCAGGTTCCTACATTGCCCTGAGGCTCCTCGAGTGCAGACAAGTGGGTAGTTGTCAAAATTATGGCCCCTTTTGGGTACCCCCCCCCCATTTTGACAACCACCCAAGTGTATACTTTGACCCAAAGGACTGGACCTGATAAGTACTTTCTACCTGACTCGAACCCCAAGGGTCCAAAGGACCCAATAATAAGGTACTTGGGTTTAGGATAGTAGCTATGTAGGTTCATATTTGGGAGAGTATATGATTATTGTACTTAGACCTTTGGTGTAAGGGATAGGGACCAAGGCGCTACACATCAGCTTGCGCCAGAAGTCCTTCCCTCATGCCTTGTGGTTACGTGCTCAGCCTCAAGCAGACGCTTGGGTAGCAGCAGCTCACTAAGCTGAGACAACGCGCCCTTTACTTAACTTTACTTTGTGCAGGAGATTTTCAACCGAGCATAGTGTACTTCGGAGGTCTTAGTAAACCCAACATATGCCTGAACTGACAACTCGGACGCGCATCTGAATTAACCTAGACACGCTCATGCAGGCCTTATAGTTAGGATAGGGTCTTTGGTGGCAGATCAGAGTTTAGTCAGAAATAGCTGGAATATGAGTTCACTGGAATCTTCTCAATGACTTTGCTAAATATATATCCTTAAAACCTGAACTAGCCGAAGCTCAAACGACAGCACCCGAACGGTGCTCCTGACAGCTGTTGCCGAGGAAGAAGACCTGCCAGTGCAAAGTTGAGGCTTACTTGGAGGGTCGGAGGACTTAGTAACTAGTTATTTTAGAGACTTCTAAGTACCATAACCCCAATTAAGATCCCTTTCAGGGGACTTATAAGTCTATTTATTAACTACTTACTAAGTCCCCCGACCCTCCAAGAAGGAAACCCCTCGCCTTCTTTGGAGTGTTTATGTTCGAGGCCTCATAAGGTGGGATGAAGGTAGGTAGAATTAAGGATCTCTTCTATCAGGAGCCTTACTTGGGGTTCCCCCACCTACCTTCATCCTGCCTTTTGAGGCTGCTGCTTAGGGGGACCCTAAACTCTATACCTTATACCCTATTCCGCTATACCACGCCCAAAACCCCCACACCCCAAACGCCTAAGGCCCTAAACCCCTGAACTCTATACTCTACCCCAAAACCCCCTAAGCCCTAAACCCCAAAACCCAAAAAGCCTAAACCTCTCTACGCCTAAAACTCTCTGGACCCTAAACCCCCAAAATCGAGACCCATAAACTCCAGCATCCTACCCCAAGCACATAAACCCAAAACCCTAAGCCCCAAAAACCCTTAGAAGCTAAACCCCAAGCCCCTGCACCTTAAATAGGAGCCTTAAGTTAGAATATAGCTTCAAAGCGCTGACATCCCTAAACCCTATACTGCTCTAAAGCCCCCAAAACCCTACACCCCTAAAACCCCTAAACCCATCAGGCCCAAAGATCCGTTATAGGGACCTTAAAGGAGCCCTTCAAGCAACCCTTATATGGAACCCTAAACAGAACCTAAACCCTAAACCCTAAACCCTAAACCCTAAACCCTAAACCCTAAACCCTAAACCCTAAACCCTAAACCCTAAACCCTAAACCCTAAACCCTAAACCCTAAACCCTAAACCCTAACCCCTACACCCCCTAGGATCCCCAGCCTTCTGAGAGCCTTCTGAGTCTCTGAGAACGACGTGCGCGCCCCTGGGAATGGGCCCCGCCTGGCGAGTCTTGTGGAGGCCTCAAAAGGTGGGATGAAGGCAGGTAGGATTAACGATTATATATATATATATACATATACATACCTATATATATACATATATATATATATATATCTATCTATCTCTCTCTCTCTCTATATATATATACACATATATATAAGGACCCTTATTTGGGGAACACCCCACCTACCTTCATCCCACCTTTTGAGGCCCCTGAGTCTTCCGGAGTCTTAAGGCTTGGGTTAAGGCGTGTACGTAGGGTTTTGGGTTTGGGATTTCAGGGTTCATGATTTGGGATTTGCGGTTTTGGATTTGGGGCTGGGGATTTGGGGCTTCGGGATCGGGGTTTGGGGTCTAAGGTTTAGGGCTTGGGGTTTGGGATTTGGGGTTGGGGACTTGGGGATTGGGTTTTGAGAGTTGGGGTTGGGGGTTTTGGGCTTTGGGAGTTGGGGTTTAGGCTTCTTTGTTTAGGACTGTTTTCCTGCCCGATTCAAGGGAGCCTTTTAAGGCAGGTCTGTGCGCATGAGGGTTTGAGGTTTAGGGTTTGGGGTTTAGTTGCTAATTTGTTGGACCGTTATCCTGGCAGATCCAAGAGACCCTTTTTAGGCAGGTCTCTGCTCATCAGGGTTTGGAGATAGGGCTTTCGGGTTTGGGTTTTGGGTTTGAGGTTTGCGGCTTAGGGTTTGGGGCTTCCCTAGACACTAAGCTCGAAAATCACGAACTGTCTGTTTAACAGTTTTCAGGGTCAGGATTTTCGCGCTTTAGAGTTGAGGGCTTGGAGGTTGGGAAGCATTGGGGCTTTGTGGGTTGAGGCTGTAGAAACTAAAGTCGTAGGGTTTAACGATTCGGCCATGGATGATGTGTTTCTGGCTTGGGTCCTACAACCGGGAACTAAACACACCGAGTCGTCGCGACAGTCTTGAAGTTCTATACAGGACACTGTAGGAAGCAACTTTAAACCCTAAGCCCTTAACATAAACCCTAGAAGCCCTAAACCCTAAACAGGGCCCGCATATTAGGCGTATTATCACAACCAATATGCAAAGCCGACTACGTCACCGTATAAGATCCCTAAATCCTAAATCTGGTCGAGATAAGGCACCTATGTTAACGGAAAAGCATTCGCACCTTCCAAAGACTCGTTTCATCCAAGACCAACACATGGAGAGCACTGTGCACACCGTACAGCCTAAGCTCTGAGTGCACGCTCTCCCTTGCATTTAGGGCGGGGTCTTGGCTTTAGACTAGGATTGAGGATTTCGGTTTTCTTTCACCGCACTCCCGTGGACAAAACATGCCAGCGCTGACAACGAAAGCCATGTGATTGCAAACAGGTGTCAACTGCCAGAAAATCTACACACACACACACACATCTGGATTCTGTGTCCTGTTGACAGCGTTGTGACATACAGGCTCGGCTTCGGAAGTAGATGATACCAGTGCTTTGCGCGTTTTTCACACTCCGTAGCAAAGCGCACCCGAAGCTAGAAGGTGTCATCGCATGCGTGATCTTAATATGCCCTGACAGGCATGTGCCTGAATACTTGAGCTTAAGGGCTCTAGGGTTCCAGTATCGGGCATCCGGTAGTACACTATACTAAGACCAGCAGTGGTGCGATATGGGCCGTATTCTTGCTCGTACTGACACAGTCTATGTCATGCCCAGAATGCGCCGGTACATGTACGGGGCAAGTACCGAACAGGGCCACTAGGTAGGGGTTTGGCATCTTGGGTTATCCCTTAATCAAGGAATGTAGCTTCAACCATGATACCTGTATGAAGCCCTATAGAATTTAAGCCATATTCAAACAATTGAGGGTATTGGGCTCTCTGGATTCTAGAGCTCTAGACCCTAAGCGGGCATGTGTTGTGAAGCAGCTGTCGTGCTCTTCTCCAGATTCGAGCCGAGATTTCCGGAGATTTGGGTTTAGGGGATTGGGTAGACTCGGGTGGTTGTCAAAATTATGGTGACTATTTGGGTCCCTATTATCATTCGGCACCTATTACTTAGGGCACCCAAGAAGGGACCCCTAATTTTCACAACCCCCCACTCGGAGGCTCGGCAGGGGACTTTGTAAGTAGATAAGAAGTAGACTTATGTACCCTAACGGCCCCGTACATGCACCAAACAAGCAACCCCCAAACTACATGTGGGCGGTTGTCAAAATAAGGGTCCCTTTTTGGGCACCCTAAATATTAGGTTCCGTAGCGAAAAGGAACCATAATATTGACAACTACCCATGTGGTAGGTGGGCAACTCTTTCTTTGGATGGGAGCCGTTGCGAGCCCCTGAGCCCTAAACCCTAAACGCTCCATAAAGCCCACAAACCCTGAAACCCTAAACCTTCGGCCCTATAAACCCAATAATAAACCCTAAACCCGATCAACCCATAAGCCCTGGGAACTAAACCTCAAATCCTAGGCCCCTACAGTAAACCCCATAAAGTTGGAAACCGGATTAAGGCCAAATAGTGCGGGAATTCCCTATACCTTTCTCTTAAGGACTGGGGCCATTGGGTTTCCAACTTTGGGGCTTCTACTCTAAACCTACACCCTCTAAACCTACTTAGTGAAATCGATCCATGGATCCCACGCGAAAGGCAGCGGCGAGATGTAGTTGCTGGGCGGTTTCCAAAACCCCTTATAAATTCAGGGATACCTGGGGTTCCTTTCAAGGATCCATATGGGATCTACAGCATCGATAGGGTTTCGGGTTAGGGTACTGTACCCAGATCTTCCAAAACCCCTCAATTAAGGAACAGACCTGATATTATGGTAGGAACACCAATCTGATTTAAGGCGTGTTCCTTATTTAAGGGGCTTCGGGAGATCTCGAAACCTATGAAACAAAAGGTCTCCCATGTTAACATATAGGGCAGTCTTCGCAGTGCACCAACAATGGCAAAAACAACGAAACCGTAGCCCACTTGCTGGTTGTCTGGGTTCAGGCTTCGTGTTTAGGGTGTAGGACTTAGCGATGCAGTATGGTACAATTGAGAAAAGGGACTACAATGAGGGGTTGGGTAAGGGATTCGGCTCAAGGGCTGTCTGGGAGCTTCCGAAAACAAGGGGTACCTTACTTGGGGGGTCCTTGTATTGTAATAAGTATCCTACTATTTAGGGTCCTATATTAGGGTCCCCTATTTTCCGAAACTTCCATGCACAACCCGATTGCTGCGACTTTGTTGCGGCTCGGCATTTGCATGCTCTGTCGTAGCAGCCGCACTTTTACAGCTGCCAAGATGCTAAGCCAGTGATCTATGGGACGGCTGAGTGGGTGGCGGACACCATGTAAAGGATTTAAACCCTTCGACCTGTAACTAACGTTTCTGATTTCGGAGACTTGAGCTACCCCCTGAATCCTAAAAATACGACGACCCCATCCTCAAGCAGGTGCATGAAAGAAGTGAATTCTGTACCCTTATCGGGCACCGAGTCATCACCCTCCATCCCGACCCCGTCACACACCCCCATGTCAAGGCCACGATTCGTACATCCCTGGACATACCGGGTCGGCACTATAGTAGATTGCTTACTTCCCCAATAAGGCCAGGGAAATATAAGGTCAAACTTTCAGATTACTACTAACATATATAAACCCAAAAAGTTTCACATTTGGCTATTGGAGAACTTAGATAAGATTAAAGCCGTAGTAAGCATGCGGGGGGGTCGGGAGTCCGGAAAACATGGCATGGCAGCATGGTCAGTCTTCTAACCACTAAGGCCCCTATACTATAGAACCCTATAGTAGATCCCTTATAGTAGCCTTTAAACGAACTCTAAAAAGGAACCCTGGTTTGTCATCACGGGTACCGAACAAATATTTCAGAAACCTTGCCACCCAAAACACGAAGCCCAAAGACCGTAGATTCCCGATCTACAACCTGCCGACCGACTCCTTGATGTCCACCATGAACTCGAGATCCTAAACCCTTCCCTAAGGGCCCAAAGGACCCAATCATCAGGTACTTGGGTAGCTTACTATTCGGGAGCGTATATGATAGTTAGGTACTTGGACCCTTGGGGCTGACCAAACAGCCCTCCCGACTCACCGGCGAACTCTTGCAACCAGATTCACGCTCCGCCCCCCACAAGGGGACTGGTCGGGTTTGGCAAGGACCCAGAGAGCCCAATACCCCTTAATTAAAGAATATAGCTTAAATCATAATATAAAGCCCTATATAGTTTAAGCCATATTCCTTAATTGAGGGGTATTGGGCTCTCTGGGGAGAATTCCTTCAGGATCTGGTTCATAAGGGGCTTTTCGGGCTGACTGGGCGAATATAGGATGTATTATATGGGGGTCCATAATATTGAAAGCGACATGAGTCCGGGCTGTTTTTGAAGGTCTTAGTCGAAGCTTTTGAGGTCGGCAATCGTGACTTTTCGCTTGTGGGCTTTCAGGCTAGTACGTTAGGGTTTTGGGGGTTGGGTTTCTTATTATATCTAAAGTCGAAAATTGCACCAGAACGCTGCTCCAAGTATTAAGGCCCCTACATTACTTGGATTCATGGTTTAACGTTTCCGGTTTGGGTGTATATTTCTTAAAGCTTGCAGCATGAGCCAAGTCAAGAGGTGCGAAAGTGTCGCGCCAGCTTGCCAGGCACCCCACTGACATGTTAGATTTCAAGAATGAACGGGCACACTCATACACGCAAACACACGCAAGCATGCCGTGACTAGTGACTGGAACTCCTTGTGTCGTGGGGTTTCACATACTTCCCCCTAAACCCTAAACCCTAAATCACGTGCAAACGCAGCACCCGAAGATGACAGCCCCCTCCCTCGGGGAGAAAGGACGGGGCCTGACGCGTGCAGTTAAAAAGCAGATCCCAAGCTCGTGACCCCAAAATGCTCCGTTGAACCCTGTAGAAGCTTAGCTTTCGGGTTAGGGTTTAGGGTTTATAGGCTTCTCAGCTAAGTCTTAAAGTTCTATTCTACTAAACTGGGGGAATCCTGACAAGCCCATGGAAGTCCTTCTGTTGGAACTCTACTACCACGATCCGTGGATGTTTATCCATTCGGAGCGGGTGTTCTAAGTCACGGCTTACGGCCATATTCCTAAACCCTAAAACCCCAAACCCTCAACCTAAACCCTAAACCTGAACCCTAAACCCTAAACCTAAACCCTAAACCCTAAACCTAAACCCTAAGCCCTAAACCCTAAGCCCTAAACCCAACAAAGAGCGCACCATATAGCCCCGAGCCCAAAATCGCAACCCAACCCGACAGTCCCAAAGCCCCATTCCTGAAAGCCTAAGATAGGGATCATGGGACTTAGTATAATAGGGATTAAAGGGCTCCGTAAAGGGATCTATAGGGTTCCTGAAAGGGATCTATGGGGTTTAGGGTTTAGGGTCTACTTAGAGGATCATGGGACTTAGTAAGTCGGTTATAATAGGGATTAGAAGTCCCCTAAGTGGGGTTATCCTAATCATAACCTACTTATAACCATACTTACTAAGTCCCATGATCCTCTAAGTAAGATACGGAGCTTAGTAATAAAACAGGATTATTTAGGGGTACGTATATTAGACAAAAACTTGAACGAGGAACCCTATGGCAAAAGTTCTTGTTAATTACTCCGGCTTCTACGGTAGACCCCAAAGCAACCTGACAGCTCCGAAACCTTAGGATCTATCGGTATAGGGGTTCGGGTCTAACGGTTTAGGGATCAAGGACTAGGGTTTAGGGGTTTACGGCTTAGAGTTTAGGGATTAGGGTTTACGGCGTCTCAACCCTCGAAAGCCAACACCGCCAAACCAGAAGCTAACAAGCCAACGCTTGCCACTGCTTAAAGCTTAAAGGCCCCAAACTCCAAACTTGGTCCTAGACCCTGGGTACTGCCCCCACACAGTACTTGGGTAGAGTTACCCCACTTATAACCCCACTTATAACCACCCATGAACCTCCAAGTAACAGCATATAGTCGGGCTACGACTAAGGGCCCAATATTTCCGTTTTATACATGTTATTCAACTGTTGCTGAGTGGGGGCAGTACCCAACCTAGACCCTAGATCCTCACTAAACACTCAACAAACCCTGTTTTTCCCAACATACTAAACCCTCAACTTTGACTTAAGGCACAAAACCCCAACTTTGCCCGAAACCCTAAGCCGTTAGTTTGCCCAAATTGCTGGTCAATCTTGCCCTAAACCCTGGCCCCAACCTGGCCTGTCCTGCACCCTAAGCCGGAGCTTGGCATGAAGCCCTAAGCCTTTAAACTTTATTAAAGCCCTAAGCCCAACACCCTAAACCCTAAATCCAAAAAAGGATATTGGGCTTGGTGACGAAGGTTATAAATCCGGTAACTATACTTATCGATTACAGATACGTATAACACCAATCAAAAATGAGGTACTGGAGGCCTTCCTGACTAAGTCTCATGACCAAGCAAGTAGACTCTAACCCCCTTTGTTGCTGAGTTCAGAAGCCCCAGAAAGTGCACACTTTCAGTTTTATAGTGCGTAATATCATCCCCAAAAAAGTGGCAAGTGTATCCACTCAGCTTCTAAGCCCCTACACCGTGTGGACCCCTTTAAGGAAGACTTATTGAGGGAACCCTAAGAGGCTCCTTCCTTACCAATGTAAGCCCCATGATCCTGCAAGTAGACCCTACCTGCAACCCCTGAACCCTAAAAACACCTAAACCCCTTAAACCCCTAAACCCCTAGACTTGAAAACGCCTAAACCCCTTAAACCCCTAAACCCCGAAACTTTAAAACGCCTAAACCCCTTAAACCCCTAAACCCCTAAACTTTAAAACGCCTAAACCCTTTAAACCCCTAAACCCCTAAACTCTAAGTCCCCTAAACCCCTTAAACCCTTCAACCCCTTAAACCCCTAAACCCTCAAATGTGCCTCATGATCCTGCAATTAGACTCTAATCCCCATGCCCTATAGGTCCCTTTAAGGAAGTTTAAGGAAGCCTTACTAAGGGATCCTGCAAGTATTGGGGTTTCGAAGGGGTCGCTTCCCCAGTTGCTGCTGCCGGGCTCGGGAGGTTTCCAGGCAGAAGTGTCGGTTTTGAGGGTTTGGGGGGTTTAGAGGTTTAGGGTTTAGAGGTTTAGGGGTTCAGAGGTTTAGGGCTTAGGGTTTGAGGGTTTAGAGGTTTTGGGTTTACGGGTTTAGGGGTTTAGGTGTTTAGGGGTTTATGTGTTTAGGGTTTAGGGGTTGAGGGTTTAGGGCTTGAGGGTTTCAAGGGTTTTGGGCTTTAGGGGTTTAGGGCTTAGGGTTTAGTCGGGTTGTGAACTGAGGGTTTAGAATGTTTTGCTTGTTTGTTAACTAATGTTGGCTCGATAAGGTACTTAAGGGGGTTGGGGATTGTTGGGTATTGGGGTTATGGGTTTTCAGGTTTAGGATTATGGTTTACGGCTGGGGAGTCTTTATAGTTTCGTTCAGCCAGCTTCGCAGTAGATACTTTGGTCTGCAACGGTCTCGATAAAGACATTTTAGGCTAAAAGTACCTACTATGTAGGTAACCCTAAACCCCAAATCCCCTTTCGTGGATGTTTCAGGTGGTGTTAGGGTGTTGCTTGACTCAGCGATTTGGGCACAGCGTATGGGAGATCCGGAGTTCAAGCTTGGGGTTTAGGGATTAGGGGTCTTCTGCGGTTTGGAGTTTAGGGGTATGGGTTTAAAATTTGGAGGGGGGATGTGGGGTTTAGGTCCTAGGGTGTAGGGTTGAGGGTCCTGGGACCAATCAAGAGTTCGGGGATGTAGGCTTCAATGAACATCGTCAAGTTGTCACTGGCCCGAGGCGAATTTGGCGGCCTTGTTATAAGTTTGGGGTTTAGGGGTTTAGGGTTAAGGGCCCCGCTAGTTCAAAGAGCGTCTTGGGTCTTGGGGTGTGAAAACATTTTCATTTAATCACGAGGCAGTCTCTTCGGAATTAGTTCAGACCACCATAATATAGGGGCCTTAATAATTAGAATAAGGTATGGGGGTATATACTACTCTGGCTATAATAAGGAGCCCCCAGAATAGTATAGGTAATTTATTCAGGTCCCTGTATTTCTACAGCGTCCGGCAGCAGCAGGAGTGAAAAAGGCCGTGCAAACCCTAAGGCCACGAACCTTCGCTACCAGGACAGTCGCAACGGTTCGATGCTAGTAGTTTCCTCATTATTCCACGGTCCTAAGGAGTCCTAACCGCATGTGTTAACTAAAAGAGGAACTAGCATGGGAGCTATAGGTGCATAGGCATACATGTATCAACTCCAAACTTCGCAAGTCCTGCAATGGCATGTGCTGCCCCCGGCTCTCAGGACACACAAGCACGAAAAACCCTGAACCCTGGACCCCCTAAGCCCTAAACCCCTAAACCCTCCCGAATATGAGCAGAGCAAGTGACAAACTCTCTGTTTCGAGATGAACACCGCTGGAGCCGTGCCGAGGTAAGACCAGAAAACAACCTAGGGTTTAGGGTTTAGGATCATACGCTTAATGGTTTTGTGGATCATGGGCTTTGCGAAGATTTTAGGCTGTCGGCTCATTTTTCCAGCTCCACGCTCACCTGCGAGGGGCAAGGAACCAAACAATATGGGAGTTTCCGAAAATTAAGGGGTCCCTGATCGTGTGGTCCTTACAGTAAGGATCCTACTATTTCGGTACTTTTTAGGGTCCCCTCTTTTCGGAAACGCCCATGGTGCCTGAGTAACTCGACTTATTATCACGAAGTCTTCAATACCGTATGTCAAGCAAGAAAGAAACTGAGTAAGTCAGGATGTCCGCGAGTTTTTGTCAAATTTGAAGTTGAATCACCCATGCGTCAGTCCTCTGCTTAGTAAACCATCGTGACGTAAAGGGTGATACCGAGGTTTTAGCTAGTCTTGGAAGAGGCCAGGGATACCGGAGATAAAAAAGGGGCTTTGACAATTAGAATAATTAGTTTGTTTGGGCTCCTTTTCATTAGACTGTCACTAA